GAAGCCCTCTAAGAAAAGAAGAGAAAGAACAGGGAACACAAATCTATACAGCTGATATTAAGTGGGCGATGGAAGCAGCAAGAGATAATCAGAGCTCTATTACTGCTTGCAAGATAGAAACACTGCTGCCTTTGATATTACCACCTAATGCAACCATTTCAACTGCAATGCTCTATTTGCATTTAGCCCTATTTGCATTTTGATATTACTAATCTGGTTCACATGTGAGAATCTGGTTCACATGGGAGACTGTTTAAATATTTGCCTACACTTTTACTCTCGTGATTCAGTTTCTTGAAATTGAACTACAAGTATTCTTGACCATCCAGAATTACAGGGCTTCCTCTTTACACAATTTCAAATAGGTTGTTAGATCACTTTTCTCTAGCTGCAGGTGACTGCATTCTAAAACGCACAGTAATTTGCACAGATTTCCAGGGACATCCTATAACTGCTCCAAAATACAGACACAAACCTTAACAAATGTTTCCAGCTCTGATTATAAACAGCTAAACAAGTCCAAGTAAAATGGATGGAAACCATCCGTATGCAGCAGCAACAGCCTTACAACATTTGATTGATTAACACAATTTTACAGAAAACTATTGCAACGGACATATAGTTAGCCAGATTCCTAAATTATCTTGAGGAACTGTGTTTCAAAAAGACTGAGGAAAGTAGTGAATCTTACAAAAAATAAAGCTCTCATCTATTAAATCAGGCCATTGGCCCATTTGCCAATTTGGTTTTTTAAGGAAGGGCTTTTCCTACTGAACTATAGGCCTTCGTCATTGTACTCCTTTTCTTAGTAGAGCTTATAACTAATATATTCCATGTGCCTGAAGATGCTACAAGAATGTTTTAAGGAACAATCTGCAAGTGAAATCTATGAACTGTCAGGATGGGACTGGATAGGAACCCACACAGAGCAACTATTTTATGCTAATTGGGAAAAGATTATGATGAGGGTCAAAAAGTCTTTGAAAGGAAATACAGAAAATACAAATGGAAAAATGTAAGCAAGGTAGACCTAGACAGCAATATGATCAAGACATGAAGTACGGTATAATATAGGGGTGGGACAGAATGGAGATTGAGCTAGTAAAAGAAACTGTTGTTTCTGCAGCACATATACAGTATATCACTTCAGATCCAACAGCAAAGCAGCAAAAATACTCCATAGATTTATACAGGAGGATTTTTTTACACTGATTCCATCTAATATTTCTCTATTTGTGTCAACTTAAATAAATAAAAGTTCTAATAAATGAGAGCAGTGCAGCATATTTCTACTGAGGCCACACTACATGGGAAGCCCCCAAGCAAAAAATGGGCCCCTAACACTGTCTGCCTTGTGTTCTATAGCAACTCATATTCTGAAGCTTGGTCAACAACTTTCATTAATAGGATATATCAAGAGCCCCCAAACTTGGCAACTTTTAAGACTTACTGACTTCAACTCCCAGAATTCCTCAGCCAGCTGTGCTGAGGAATTCTGGGAGTTGAAGTCCACAAGTCTTAAAGTAACCTAGTTTGGAGACCTCTGGAATATATTAATAACCATCACTGTATCTTATGGTCCCATGTTTGAAATTTGAAAACCACCTCAGATACATTTTAGTTATCTAGGTATTTAATGAATTAATGTCTGTCATGCCACAATGGCAACAGCCCATAAATGGTACATTCCATAATTTGTTAGCTGAACTTATTGCAGGAGACATTAGTGAGTCCAATATTGAGTAGACTTGTCATGTGATGCATGTAGACTAGATTTCCTCAGATGGGTGCACAGTTAATGTTTTTATGTCACCTAAAATACTGTTTTATATCTATTAAAATGCGACACACATGAATCCATAAATTCAATGTAGGAAAAGACAAGACAGACTGACTGGAGCTGAGAGAATTGTAACATGAGTTCAGTGTATTTTTTTAAGTGCCAGGTAATGCTCAAAGAAATATCCATATAGTATTTACAAAAAGAAATAAAGGCAATGCTGAGGAAGGTGCGAAGGAAATGTGTAAGCTTATAAGCCATTTTATATCAGCAGCAGCCATTCATGACCTGTGGCTACACCAGGAGCTAAAGGTTTATTTAAGAATCACTAATTTGGAATTAAGCAGTGGTATGAGGCAGTATCCCAATAGGACAGTATAATATATAACAATATAGAAACCATGAACATTAGGCTGAAAGCTATTGCAACCGTAAAATGAAGCAGACCATAAACAGAAGCAAAACAAGAAAATAAAATAAAATATAACCTTATTGGTGAACTAACAGACTCCAAAGCTCAAGATAAATAAAAAAGCTTTTACAATTTCCAGAAGCATTTTGGGGGGTATGATTGTGTGATACAGTACCATGAGAAACCTCAGAAAGTGTAGGACAAGAGAACAAAAGTGAAAGATGTGCCAAGATTCTTTTTACTAAAAATTTAGTCCAACAAATTAATTGAACATTCTTTCTCTGGTTCCATGACAATATATAGGACGTGCCATTCATTTTGACACTTCCAAGCTGTTTTCACAATTTCACATGCTATCAAATTTCTGTCCATCTATTCTCTATACATTTATACCCTATCTTTTTAAAATACAAGTAGCAGCCAACATGCCCAATGCTCTTTCCTCCTCTGCTTTTCCTCACAACCACCCTATGAAGTGGGTTAGGCTGAGAGAGTGCAACTGGTCCAAAGACACCCAGCCAGCTTTCATGCCTAAGATGGGACTAAAACTCAAGAGTTTCCTGGTTTGTAGCCTGGTGCCTTAACCATTAGACCAAACTACCTCCCTTTATCTTTAATAGTTTTAAATAACTATTAAATACCTTTAAATTAAATTAATTAAATTAAATTACCTTTAAATAGCTTTGGCCTCAACTGCCTCTTAGGTTTGCATGTGCAGCTTTGATAAATTAGGGCGGATACACATAGCCTTCAATTTACAACAGTTCACTTAGTGACCAAAGTCACAATGGCACTGAAAAAAATGACCTATGACCATTTTTCACACATATGACCATTGCAGCATCTCCACAGTCACGTGATTTACATTTGGATGCTAGACAACTGACTCACATGTATGATGGTTGCAGCGTCCCAGAGTCATGTGATCCCCTTTTGCGACCTTCTGACAACCAAGAGCCAATGGGGAAATCAGATTCACTTAACAACCGTATCACCAATTTAACAACTGCAACGATTCAAGGACCAAATGTGGGGAGAAAAGTCGTAAAACGGGGTGAAGCACCCTTAACAAATTTCTCACTTAGCAACATTGGGCTCAATTGTGGTCGTTAAGCTGAGGACTACCTGTATTCTTATTTTAAAAGCCTATTTCCAAATCCAATTTCTGAAGGAGGGAAAAGCTACACCTGACGAGGCCATGATAAAACTTTTTGGACACAATATGTCACGGGTGCCAAACTCGACCGCATCACATGACGTATAGTGATTATTATTTTTTTGCCTTTGCGGGTGGGGGCGTGGCCTGCGCGTGACACATCCGGCCCGCGGGCTACCAGTTTGACGCCCCTGCGGTTATGTGAAGACCCAACTCTCCGGGAAAAGGCCTCAACGGTGGGAAAGGTGCAAGGAAAGTGTAGGAAAAGAATGACCACCAGCAGCAGCAAGGCGGACAGGTTCAGCTATAGCGGCAATGAGCGCACCACCCTTGAGAGGCGTGAAAAGAACAGGATTAAAAATAGAGAGAAAATATCTATATAGCTGCTGGGCACGGAAATTGATTTTTTTTTTTGGGGGGGGGGGGGGGGGGGGGGGGGGGG